TACTTAAGGTCAAATAAAAAGCATTTCCATAATAAACGAAAACATAAATATTCTAAAAAAAAAATTAATGGTTGTTTCCAGGTAAGGACGAAAATGTAGTTAAACAGATGACATTAATCTGTTTACACACATTATTATTATGTCTATAATAGACATTATAGAATAAGATATTGTATTTCAAAAATATATATGTAAACTAAAAAAAATAAACCTAAATAAATTCGCTTTTGCCTTCACCAGGAGAATTCCTAATAATATTCTATTAATATTAAGTATAGATTAAGTACAGATTAATGTCATCTGTTTACACACATTATTATTATGTCTATAATAGACATTATAGAATAAGATATTGTATTTCAAAAATATATTTGTAAACTAAAAAAATAAACCTAAATAAATTCGCTTTTGCCTTCACCAGAAGAATTCCTAATAATATTCTATTAATATTAAGTATAGGAATAATAGAAATAAACGGAGTACCCAATGGAGCGGAGCACTGCGACCATGGTTGATCTTTTGTGCTGCAACAAACGCTAACCGAACAGAAGACATTTCACCTTCCGAATGAAAGCCAGAATGTCGGTCATTAAGGACCTCATAAGGTCAGAAGGGGAGAGTAGTTCTCGACCCAGTGACCTCCTCCTGGCAAAGATCAAGGCTGGGCAATCACAGAGAAAGTGACTGGAAGTCTTGTCTGCTTCATTAATATTTCGAATATTAAAAGCGAATTTGCCGAAATACGTATAGTAGTTTGTAGTAAATGGCAAATGATTAAAAGACCCTACACACCAAATTCTGAAAATTTTCTGTTGCTCAAGATAAAGAATTTTAACATACTTAAGTTATTTATTAGAACAGCGTAAACTAAGATAATATCTATTTAAAAAATCACTCAATCACAGAATCCAATTTTCTATGGAATTGATATAGAAATTGCATTCCAAATTCTCTGCGAATGTTATGCACTCGCCAGAAATGATATATGGAAAACTATATCAAAAATAATAGTAAGTATTATGAGCAGTAAGTATTTTAGCCATCTTCTCACCAATAGCTAAGAAACCAATAAGTATTACTGTTAAAGCTAGCGGCAAATCTTTTATTTGCCTATTTATATTATGCTTATCATCGATAAACTGAACTTGAAATTTTATGCAGACTATAATGAGCTACTAGTCTTAAATATTGAAAAGTTCTTCCATCTATGAATCGCTATTTGAAGGGTTTATTCCGCAAGAGTTGCTAGCACAACAAATACTCTTGTTGGCAGTTCAGTTTTTTCGTTTCAGAAATAACTTTGTTTGTTTAAATATATGTAAACAGTTATACATATTTAAAGTAAAGCCTGAATTACTAAATATAGATTGTGTAATCTATATTTAGTATCTTACATCTTAATTAAGAACACTTCTGCCTGTAATAAGCTAAAAGTGTTTGAAGATTCATAAGATTCAGCTACTCGAAATATATACCTCAACCTATGAGGCAAGCAATTTTGGAACCAACCATAAAAACTACAGTAAAAACTACTAAAACTGCAGTGAAATTCTTGCTGAATATTATCTTCGCATCAATGTAGACATTTTTGTTAGAAAAATTTGTTATTTTAATAGAAACCGAAATTATTAGAAACCGACTAGCTCCACTCAACCTTAGTGTACTTATGATAGTCGATAAATAGATATTTGAGATCATATGAATCACCACATTAAGTGCTTCTCTGGAGTATAACTTAAGCTACAAGTGCTGTTACACAGGTTTACCTTTTTATACTTTATATATCTCTATATACTCCATAATCACGTACTGTTAATGTTTTAATGATTCATAATAAAAATATACTTTTAGAAGCATTTGATTGTTCTCAGACCATGACTCACCAAACACCTTACCAGTCGTTTTACCATAACACTGAGCTTATTATAAACATAGACCTATCACTTTATTTTTACTTTCACTTTATTTATAATAATATAAGATTGCTTTTCTGGATCATTTATCGAACTTTTATTTGTTAGTTAAAAATTATAAAAAATGCTTAACTTTTTTAGGCACTGTTATTAATACGAATTATTTATGACATCATTAACCATAGATTAGTTTTTGTTCTAAGTAAAATTTAGAATAAAAACAAAAACACTTGCTAACATTATCACATCTTCATTGACCTTTAACAAGCTTTTGGGATAAGATATATTTTATTCTCTATAATCGGAAAGTATAATATATCAAATGAAAGTAACATTAATATAATAATTTTGTTTCAATAAAAAGTCCAATAAAGTAAAAGAGGTGTTTACGATTTGACAGTTTACCATTAGGAACATTATTAGAATAAAAGTCTTTGAAAATAGATACGTAGGTTTTATACAATCTAAGCATCGATAGCAATAGTAAATTCAATTGGATTACAACAGTTTTTCTTATTTCATATGAACTACTAAATATTTTTGGAATTTTGAAGAAATAGATAATATTACTAATATTACTATATAACCGCCTCTGGTATTAAACCATGAATGCTATGCGTGCCAATTTAGTACGTTAAACACTGCACTAAAAATGTCACTATTCTAAATATAGATAATAATTTTTTTTTTTTTTGTATGTACTTTACTGATAAATTACTTGTAAGTGGAATTCGATATTAGATGAAAAATTCAAAATCAACATCATACACATTTTTTAATTATGAATAATATTTTGCTTTATATGCATCATAATTATATTAATAAAAAAAATTCAGCAAAAAAAAAAAAACAATCATCAAATATACATTAACCATAAAAAAATGTATAGTAAAATGATTAAAAAATAAATTTTTAAAACAATTAAGTAATTTCTTTTATAAACATTAATACAAATATTTATAAACCTACTTCAATGTATAAAAATAAAAAAAAAATATGCTTCAATATTGCAGCAAAAGAATTTTTATGTCCAACGCCAAAGATAAGATATGGACACCCCAACCCCCTCTGATACCGTTCTCTTTAAGATGAAGGAAAATTTCGTTATACTGAGTATCTAAAAGTGCTTAGTTTTTTTATTTACTTATAGTGATAATAATATTAAAAATAAAATCTTATCAAATAGAGCAAAATTTTTATATATAAGAGCATATGATAAATTTGCTGATGACGCCAATAATGATTGCTATTAGAAGCTTTTCATAGCAGTGAAAGATAAGTACAAATATTAACTAAAAAAAAAATGGAAATCAAGAATCTTTAAGTATAAAACATATAAATTACAAATATAGTTTTTTGTATTTGAAAAATTTATAAAAATTACTAAAGTTTTCGCACTTTTAATTCGTTTTTAAACTATAGTAGTTTTAGTGCTTTCTAGTTTTTTAGTGGCATACATATAATGTAATAGCATGTCAGTTTTAAACATAATATTTCTGTAGTAGATGGATATTTATTCTCACTTGCACAAAGGTTTAAGCGGTGTCGGCATTACCTCTTCATAACCTGCAAGTAAAATCTCTTGCTTCTGATTTCCTTCAATATTTGAGGCAATTTTAATCTAAGGTCACTACCACTTTATGCATAGAATCTATAAATTAATTAAGCTAACAATCAATTTTCCTAATAACAACCCTTTATTGTTTTATATGATTTTAGCCCTTTGCTCCACTTGGAGTAAACGGAACAAAGAAGAAGAAGATGATTTTAGCTGCTAAATATGAAAACTATAAACATGTCCTTTTCTTTCCCTTCACTTACGTAGTGATACTGTTAGTGATATCTACAATATTTTCTTTATGCCCAACACATAATTACAAGTTAAACAATTTTTTTGTATTTTTTTTTTCGAATTATGGAAGTTCGAGTTATTGAAGTTTGACTGTATCTGTTAAACCAAATAGAATAGGAATAATTATTCATATTATTCAAAATAATATTTCTATTAAAGAATTTTAATATTTTGAGAAGAAAATGTACTCCTGATGAATGAAATTGTATTTAAACTAATTTATAAAAAGTTATAACTATTGCATATAATGGTTTAAGTTATACATATGATTTATATTTCATACAGATTTTTTAATGTTAATAATCGTGTATTTCTGTAATAAATAGAATATGAATTTTTGTATTCAGAATAATTTCAATTTCTTACAATAATTTTATAATAATTTATTGTTTTAATAACCAAAAATATTTAATCATAATTTTGTTTTTAAACGGGCTAATGGTCAATAGTTAAATAATGCATTTTTAAAAAATATTTTAACCAATATTTTGACTTTATTGTATAGTCATCTCCAGTCTACTATAATGTTCCTATTATGTAGCAAGAATTTAATATAAATCACTTATTTATGTATATTAAATTTGAATTTGATTTATATTAAATTTTTATTACATTATAAGAACATTATAGTATCATGAAGGTGACTTTAGAATATAGTTGAAATATTGGTTCAAATAAAATTGTTTAAAAACAATTTATTTCGATAAGTTTTTTTTAATAAAATTATATGGATGTAAAAACTATAAAAAGTTGAAGGGTGAATTAATAGGAAAACATAAAACACAAAATTTAACACAAAATTTATTTTTCGACCTGTTTATGGTTTTTTTATATATATTTTTATTCTGGCTGTAGGTCCCTTCTTGTTAAATAATAAAACGTTTAATATAAGGATGGAATTAATATATTTCGACTCTCCTTAAGAGTCATCATCAGAATTACGATACGTTCTCCTCTTTGTTCTATATTGTATATTGTACAATTGTTGTATAATTGTACAATATAGACGATAAACCAAATAGGAGGACGTATCGTAATCCTGATGATGCCTCTCATGAAGAGTCAAAATATGGAGTTTAATAAAATATATTAAACGTTTTTTTATTTAACAAGAAGGGACTTAAAGTCAGAATAAAAATATATAAAAATATATAAAACATATACCAACTTATAAAAAATATTTGTCAATATATGTACATTCATTAGTATTAAGGTTTTAAATTTTTTGTACTTACATTTTTATCTTATGATATAGCAAGCTTTTATCTTATGATATTGGTTGATCATTCAGATATTGTTTTGTATATTAAAACTTTTTTCTTTAATTTTTCACAAAAACAAACTTTTCTTGTAATTATTATCACAGTTATTATTTATTATATTTTCAATTAATACTCTATAAATAAAATTTAAAAAAAAAATAATTAACTATGCACTTGCGAAACACATACAAATATATTACTTATGTATATATATTATATATTACAGTAGAAAATGTAATTATTTAACGTTGCAAAAATGATAAAAATTTAGAGAAATCATGAAATAGCACATCGCGAGGCAAAACACGTTTCAAAATTGTAAATGTAAAATTATATTATTCGCCTATACTATATAATATATAATTCCAACCGATTTTCATTAGCGAGGAACGTGATTTGTAATGTATCTACGACAAAACGACAAATAGTTGACAATTTGAAAATGCAGTACTTCTCACTAACTGCAACGAATGTTGGCATCTATAAAAATTACATTAAAAACAAAACCTAAAAAAAAAAAAAGAGTACATACAAATCCAGTTAAAACTACTGCAAAGTGCAAACTGGAAAACTACAAAAGATACGTAACTGAGCTATTAAGTGATGGTCTACGGCTACAGTAACTGCAGTTAGACGCAATATTTTATGCAAGAAAAAAACTAAAACTAAAGCAAACAAAATTAAAGAATAAAAAAGTTAATGAAAAACATTGTCAACGTAAAGGTAAAAAGTATCTACAATAAAAAAGTATCTACAGCAAAAACAGATCCACACACATTACAGTAACTATAAAAGCCGGTATAGAAAACAGTATGTATGGTACAAAAAAAAAAACAAAAAAAAAGATTAAATGGAGAGCAAAGGAACTGACGGTAGTCAGAAAAAAAAAAAATATGGTTGCTTATCGACGACGCGTTGTTCTTTCAAATTTTAGTCGTTTAAATTTGAATTTATTTTCTGTGTTGTTGCGCGTGTTAAAAAGTCCGATAATCGTCGTTTTCTTTTAATTAAAATGATATACAAGATACAAAACTATTGCTCGAGTAGGAACACCCAAGCAAGATAAAAATTCGCATTGTGTAAATTTAACAAAAACAACACATATTCATTCTTTAATAAAATATATCTACGAACGCAAACATTGAACATACACAATAAAAATGAAGAATACGCACACGAACACACAATTAACTTTATAGCTTGAACTGTTCCCGACGAAAGCCAAATGCGAAATGAATTCGGGGGAAAAATAAACATCACGAATAAAATATGTTATCCCACATACAACACAACCAACATCTTTTAGCGCAAAAGATGGAGCAAAAAGCAATATGCAAAAGAGAGAATACAAGTGAACCCCGCTGCTCGCTCTCAACTACTCAATTCAGTCAGTCCAACAAGTAGGCAAACAAATTTAATGGAGACAATTGAATGCCCATTAAACAAACAAGTTAACTCGTTTTGAGTACGCGATCATTTTATGCACCTTACAGTTGGGGGTTTCTAGCTACTAGAAAAGCACTGACAAATTTAGAAGAATATATGTATGTATATATCTTATTTAATATGTATAACTTAATATATGTAACTCAATACATATAACTTATTACATATAACTTAATTTATATAACTTAATATGTATGTTGATCCTTTTTTCGAGTCAGCGCAACTGGCACTTTTACTCTTTGATAGCTGGGGGTACTACAGGGTCCCACCCATCTCATTGACTAATTTATGTATTGCCTATAAGCTTCATGATTATTCAGTGATTGATCTAAGATCTGCGATTTAATATATATAACTCAATATATATAACTCAATATATATAACTCAATATATATAACTTAATACATATAACTTAATATATGGTATATGACTTAATATATATAACTTAATATATATAACTTAATATATATAACTTAATATATATAACTCAATATATATAACTCAATATATATAACTTAATACATATAACTTAATATATATGACTCAATATATATAACTTAATATATATAACTTAATTTATATAACTTTTAAGAAAAATGTGATTCAAATATATATCGATATATAAATAGCAAATTTAATTCAAATGGAATAAATAGTAAATAAAATTTATTAAATAAAAAACTACAAACATGGATGGAGAAAAAAAATATTTGTCTGACATACAGAAAAATGAAAAATCCGCTACATCATTTAGTCCGTGTGCGAGTTCGAGTAAATTGAGGTAAAGTAAATTAATATATCCTAGCGATTCTTGGCTCTGCACTTATGTAAATATTTATTTATCTATTTATTGTACTTCTTTATTATTTTTGGTTAAAACTTTTCAATTTTATTTATTTATTTATTAAACATGTTATAAAAGTTTTACTATGGTAATACCTAATTTATACCTAATTTCGAAATTCTGGTAAATACCAACATCCGGTGCCATACCGATATAATTTACTATTTCCCTCAATTTACCATCAATTACTCGAACTAGCACACGGTCTTACTATAGTAATTAAGTTAATCATTAAAAATGTCCTTAGTATAATAATAGCTAACTCAAATAAATATAACATATCTTGTATTAAGTTTTTTGACTATTACCAGGCTTACGTCCTTTATTTAACACATAAAATTATAAAACATTTTTCTAAATAAATAATTTTTTCAAGTAAAAAATTTTCTTAAATTCAAACTTCTATGTAACAGCACTTAAATCGCGGCTTACTATTTCTATTTCAGCTTTAAAATATACATTAAAAACAATTGTCAAACTGCCAAGTAACAGCAGTAAAATCACGGAAGAAAAGAAGATGCTAGCTAACTGTTTTTAAAAGCTACTAGCAAAATATATATAGTGTTTTCTTAAAAAACATCAACGTTTAAACGTTTGTAATCATAGACATGGCACTATCACTAAATTTCTAATATAAATCTGTTGTCAGCTGATTGGCTGGCAACTATCGATAACTAACATAAGCGAGACATTAAGATATATGCGATTTGAAATAAGTATATATTCAGTTTTTGGGTTGCTAAGGATCATAAATACACTAAAAAATTTTTTTAATGCAGTTTACCTTCTGCTATTTAAACCATTCTGAAAAAAATTTAAAAGCTTCAATTTTGGTAACCTCTATTTTAAAAATCCGAAAATATATATTTGTTCTAATAAGCAAAAAATAGAACCTTACTGCAGTTTTCATTTGAAAAATTTAGTTATAATTCTGAACCAATGTCGGCATGTTTTCATTACATAACCGAGACTTTCCTCTTCCAATGCAAAATGTCTTTGCATACTATAACACCTAAAATATTTTAAATGATTTGAAATTTTTATAACTAATAATTTTGAAAGCAATTTGAATATAGCGCCCCAAAAATTCACTCAATACCGAATAATTGAACAACTGCAGCTAAAATTAATTTGAAATGCACTTGAAATTTTTTTTTTTCATATATTCGTATTACTCATTATAGAAGAGAGATGAAAACAGAGGTGGTGAGTAATAAATAGGATTGCATATTGAGAATCAAATAGAGATCCAACAGGTGGGATTAAAAAGTTATAATTATCATTTGTCTAAATATCGACTAAAGTGTTTTTACAAAAAATAACAGAGAATGACGTCAATATTCAATTTAAATCTATAAGTATAAGTAAAAATATAAAAAAAAAACATTTAAACAAAAACGTTTCTAAGAATGCTAATATTTACCTGCGATTCTGCGCTCTTCAAATAACTTAAAAATTTCTTAATAAAAACGAAATCAAAATCAAAGTAAGATGGGAAGGAACCAGTTTAAAGATTCCACAGAAACAAATAATTTAAGATATAACAGAAAAAAATATCTTCCATGAGAGTTGGGATTAAAAATAAACCTAAATATCAGTTTTGAAAAATTGCATTTTTATAGCAATTTATGCTTATTACATAGAAAATATTATATGTTAATATGTGATATTAAATTTTATAATATGTGTATAAATGAAAATTATCATGAACATAAAAAGGAACACTATGGAAGGTTGAGATGATTAAAATATAAATTAATTTATTATTATATTTACATTACATTACTGGTTATTTTAAACTGTCATTAAAAGTAATGAAATGTGTAGAAAGAGACAGTAATATTTTCGAAAATTCGTTTAAACAAATATTACATTCTAGTAACTATTTTGAAACATTTATATATATGTTTTATAGTATAATGTTTTATAGTACAATGTTTTATAGTGCAATGTTTTATAGTACAATGTTTTATAGCAAAATTAAAATCAAATAAAAGAAAACATTTTTATAATATAATTCGTTTAACTTCATACGATATTTTAAATGAAGATCTCTTCAATTTATATAATTTTAACTTTATTTTTTTTTTTATGACCAAACATTATATATTAATTATGAAACGTGTTATTAGTTATGGATCTCTTAAAACAATATTTAGATTTTTTTTAAATAATGTTTTTTTTTTGTAAATTATTTTCCGATACTTCAACTATAATCGTTAATTTTGATAGAAAATCCTTTAAAAACAGTTGTGTTTTGATTACAATATATAATCAATTAGACCATTCCTTTTCCGTTGAACAATAGTCCTATAATTGGAATATATAAACCAACGTGAGTATAGCTTGTTATCGTAATTGAAATCATTTAAAATGACATTTCATGCACTGTGACATTTTCAATCTTTGACTTAATTATTTAGGTAAATATGTAGATCTTTAATTGATTTACCATATATGTATAAGCTAATGATATACATATTTACATTACGAACTTTAGTTGGGGCCTTGTTGTGTAGAATATCATGAGCTCATCATGAGCAAAATTGTTTTTGTTTTCAATGCCATTTATAAAATTGAGAGTGAGAGAAAAAACAATATGTCGGTTCAAATTTGGTCATGAATGCCGAGGTTAACTATGCCTCGTCACAATTTTAAAATTGCGAGTGAGAGAAAACAATATGTCGGTTCAAATTTGGTCATGAGTGCCGAGGATATCTGTGTCTCGTCACTTAGGCAAAGCAGTGTTATTCAGTAATAAATGTCAACATTTGTGTCATTTCTGTCACACTCTACATAACATGCACTTTCGTCAAAGCCTAAATAAATAATTTTGACGAGCTCATAACACTCTACATAACATGGCCCTTAACTAACTTTACTAAAGTTAGTTCCCAAACGTCATGTGTTTACATTTTCGTTTCAGGTTTTCATTTTGACAGTTGTTGATTTTTTAATATATTGTCTACCATGAAATTAGAAACGTTATTATGGAAATCTGAGTTATTTTTTATTAATAATTCTTAAAAGTAAATTATTTTTTAAAAAAATCAAAATCGAACTGTACTTAAAATCAAATTTACTTAAAAGTAAATTATTTTTAAAAAAAATCAAAATCGAACTGAACGAAAATTCATAATTCAGAATTTTTAAAAACTTTCGATTAAATAGAATTTAGAAATTTATCCTTATTTAATTATTTTCTGTGCTGTATTCAAGAAAATTATAAAATGAACTTAACTTCCAATAAGAGTTGAACTTTGTGGTGCCTATTTTTATATGAAAAAGTAAGCTTTGGTAATTGGTTTTGAGCTCAAAGTCGATTTTCACCAGCAAAGTTCGTAATGTAAACATAGTATAAAATATTAGATTGCCCTGCGGTAATGCACATACGAAATAAGCTCCTGCGAATGTATATTCTTAAGAAAGAGGCAATAAAAGTAGGTTCTATACTATTTTTTCATTAACGCAACAGGGCTTAGAAACCTATTCTAAACCCAGAAGGGAGTACAATAGACCAGACGACCCCAGTGCCAGATCCCCTAATAATAATAATAATGGTATAAAATAAGCATTAACTGCTGGCGAGAGTGAAACGTAGGGCTTATTTCGTAATAGTATGGCATTTAATACGTTTTCAATTATTGATTTAATTATTTAGGTAAATATATTGAGAATATAGAGTTAAATTTAACAAAAAAAAAATTATTTAATTCATTTATTAATATTCTCCACACCCTTAAACTGTTCTACATACTACAGTACTCTATACACTATAAAAAATTGAACTTCAATAGAGAAAAAAAATATGTTAAAGGCGGTATAACATTTGGAGCATTACGAACAATTTCCATTGCAATAGAACCAGAGGAATTATGACATTCTCATAAGAATAATTCCCACATATTGATGCAAGCGTGAATTATTGTTGATAGTAAGAAAAAAACTTCATTTAAAGAACTACGGTGTAAAATATAATAAATATGATGTCAATGCAAAGCTGTTAACCGTTTCAGCAGCGTTTTTATTGTTGTTTCTTATAAATTAGCAAAAAGTAAAGAAAAATTTTATAGCACAAGCAACCACGTTGATAAAATGAATGATATAAATTATATTGAAGAGTATTATAAAAATAATAAAATTTTAATGATATTTAAGCACAATAATTTTTATAATAAATCAGTGGTTAAATTGGTTAAAATTATTAACAAAAAAACAAAAAAAATAAATTAATATGCAAACTACTTTCACTCTCTAGAAAGCAACTATATTAATAAAATTGTAGTCCTTATTTTATATATAATTAAGTTTAATATATAATTTTATTGATCACATATCTTATAAATTTTTTCTTTTTTTGTTGGTTTTTAATTAAGAGTTGTGTCTTAAATTATTGCTATCACATTTCTTTGAAGTCAAGGAACACACCGGCGACAACAAAGACAATTTTAATGACTCACACATTTAATACACACAATAACCGGCAATTATAATTTAATACAGTAATTTTATTTATTTTTCACAAGTCTCAATATAAAGTTAAACTAATTAAATACTTACCAATGAGGTGGGAATTTTATAAAAAAAATTTTAAAAATCAAATGCCGAATTACGAAAATTCCGATGGTAGCGAAGCTGACAATAAGCCGCGACGTTCTCGTTATAATAAAAAGGCGGTGTTGCTGTCTTCGTTTTGTGTTTGTCTTTCGCCTTGTTGCGCTTTTTTTTTGCAACTCTATTTCTTTTAACCTTTATTTATTAATACATATATTTAACAATTGTTTTATTTAAATTTCAGTTAAACACTATTCGATATTTTTAATTTAAACAGAAAATTAAAATGATCAAAAAAAAATTAAAACAACTAAAAACGTACTTTCGCACGGCGGAGAATGCTCAAATGACTCTCGTTTGCGACAGGGTTGCGCAGAAATGCATCAAATGATAATTTGTTTGATTGAAAAAGGTAGTATGTCGGGTTTTCGCAAGTCATACAATTAATAGTATTTCATAGACAAATATTTCAAATTTGAATCACGTGTCTGTTGTCAAACAACTGATTAAAATAAAAGATCTTCACAATAAGACTTAGACCGTGTGCGAGTTCGAGTAAATTGATTCAGGGAAATAGTAAATTATGTCGGTATAGCAACGAATGTTGGTATTTACTAGAATTTCGATTAGGGTAAATTAGATAAAAATTAGAAACATTTTATAAGGTGTTTAATAAATAAATAAATTTAAAAACTTTTAACCAAAAACAACAAAATAAATATTTACATAAGTGCAGTGCAGTTTTCAAAATAAATAATGCGATTATTTTTTAGATATACTTTGTTAATGTTGAAATGCCAATTGGAATAACTAATTATAATAAAAGATCTTCAAAATAACTCTGCTAATATTAAATAATTACATATTTCAAAAGTAATAATGAAATTATTTTTTAGATATATTTTGTTAATGTTGAGAAACCAATTGGAATCATAATATATAACAATAACGATTGGTACTTTTAATTTATTCGATTTTTTCGAAAAAACTGTTTCGAAGTTACTAAAAATACTTCTTCGAAAATATCAGCTATCGTACACTGGATCCTAAAAGAATAAATGCATGAACCCCATTTCAGAGTCAAAAAAAAAGAAGCACAGAAAATTCATCAAATTAAGCATTTATTTTATAAATTTATTTAGGTTGGAAAATGTAAAGGATAGAGGTTGGCTATCGTTTTGATAACCTAACATTAAACTAAGCATTTATTTTATAAACTTATTTAGGGGGGAAATCTAAAGGATAGAGGTTGGTTATTGTTTTGATAACCTATAGAGATTTGCTGGTATAGTTCCTTTTGGGAATAGTGAATAGTATTTGTTGAAGTTGACATTTATCGCGTGAACGTAAACTCGGCCTCTGCTGAAACCATCAAGGATGGTAAGAGAATCTTAAATATAAAATAACTTTATATGGCTTAATTTATAAGTAAAGTTTGCACAAGAAATTCGAGATTATAGTAAGAGAATGGTTAAAGTTAAACAGATAGACGAACCAAAATTGAGAACATATTACTTCATATTTTTATTGTTTGCAAGAGCTTTAAAATCTATTTTAAAAGTTTAAGAGCGTTTACTAACAAAAATTAAAAGACTGGTACGTAAACTTACAAAACTGACTTAAGCATGAAAATAATCAGTTAAATTAATGATTTAAGCACGACTTAAGTCTGTAGTACGATCCATGAAATCGGTTCTTAAAGTTGCTATCATTTGACATTTGGCTTTCAAACCTCAAAACTAGTTTTTAGGTGTTTCAGTAATGCCTAAAATCAATGTTTTCTTCATAATGTTATATACTTTTAGTAAGCTAAAAGCGGTTTTAAATAAAATTTATTTTAGATTATTCACACGACCTTAAACTCAATTTCAAGTCTTCAACAACTGTTTACGCGATCTATAAATTGATTTTAAGAGCCCTGAAGACACTTTTCAGATTCTCTTCAAGGCAGTAATTATTAAAAAAAAAACCGGTGAACAATTTTTAAGCAAATCGGTGAGAAATTGAAATGCGTGAAACCTATCAGGTGGGAAATCCCTAATAAAATAAGAAGAACATTTATCTCTCAACAAGGTTAAGATAACAAAAATTGATCTGTTTGTTGGATATAAAATCAATTATCACCAGTTTAATTTATCTGGAAGCACCTTATTTGGAAACGCATAAATATAAATCCATAGGTAATGGTATCTATAAAAGTTCGTTCATTCGCTTGGGTGTGGATGCACCTTAATAGATTTTCATTTTCTACAAAAGACTGCAATTTTGACCCATTGGAAATTTTACTTAATATATATCTCTTATATTTTGTGAACGAAGATTGCGCTAAACGTTTATACAATTTTTATATTAGAATCAGACAACTATTATTAAGTTATGTTCTATTTCTTATCATTTAACTGAATATACTTTTATACGCAGTACAAATAACTAAGTCACTGTATAATATAAAATCAAATTCTACTAAATTTGTTAAACATTTTATATATTAATATAATCAATTACTTTACCAGACTTTCTAATATTAACATATTTCGAATTTTTTATTATTGTTACGTTACAGACATCAATAAGTTCGTAGTATAAATTTATGTAAATTGATGAAAATTAACCTAAAACTCTACTTATATGTTCAAAATTGTTTTTTATATTTTATTTAATAAATATTGCAATTACTCGTCCTTTTTGTCTTCGGTTTTAGGTGCCTCAGGAGTAGTGGATGGAGGAACGTTTGGTTGTGGTGCAGCAGGAGGTAAAGGTTGTTGCTGTGGTGGAACAGTATTATGTGGTGGTTGTCCATAAACATCATGAGGTTGTGGAGGATAGTGTTCGGGATAATGAACTGGTGAACCATTGTGTTGAGGTGGTGGACGAGAATTCATATAATGTGGACCAGGTGGTGGTCCATAAGGTTGTTGATAATGTGTATATGGTGCATATTGACCATATGGCTGCGTCGGATGAGGACCATATTGCGATTGATAATATGGTGAACGTGCTGGACCAGTTGGTGCAGGCATCGGTTGCACAGGATAATGTGGAGCACCGCCAGCAGCATAGTAAGCTCCTTGCGGGTGATAAGGAGCATTTGTTGGATTTGAGATTGGTGGATTGTTTGTTGTAGCAGGAGCAGTTGATGCTGGGGGTGGTGTTGGTGGTGGTGGCGTGGGAGTTGGTGTAGGAGTAGGTGTGGGACTTGGTTGCACTTGTTTACCAGTTGATGGTGGCATAGGCTTAGATGTTTCTCTTATAGCATCTGTGGGCATCTTTTGAATCTTTGGAGATTCAATTGGACGCACATCGGTTTTAGCTGGCATGCTTGATACAGCTTTGGGAGAGGAATCAGTTTCCATTGGTTCAGTTTCAGGTTTGATACTCTGTTCTGGAGCAGGTTTATGTAAAGGAGCTTGTACAATCTCATTTTTTTCTAAAAAAAAAAAAAATATAAATATATATGAATGTAATCATTTAATTTTTTTGTTTTATAACATTACCAGCTGGAATGGTTGCTGATGTATTAGTCGGCGCTATTTGAGCTTGTGGTGGCGTGATCTGTGGCTTTTCCTCTGCACGACTTGCTGTAGGAGGTATATTTGGGTTTGAATGCACTTCTCTGGGATCATCAACACGTTGACGATCACGTTTCATTTCCTCATACATACGCTGTACCATCTTTTGAAAAGTTTCTTCATCTACCGCTGGTTTGCAATGACGTTTAAGTTCTTCCTGAAATGCTTCGCTACTCTGCATCATTCGTTGCTTTTTAGTTTCAAATTTCTCCTCCATTTGTTGGAGCTCAGCTTCTAGTTTGGTTTGATGCATTGTAAGAGAACTAACTTGACGTTTTAAAACCTGCATACGCTGTGTAGTTACTACTGATCGGACATCCGGCACCACAGCATCAGAAAAGATTTCATTGATTAGTCGATGGTTACGCAAATAACGTGCATAAGCTACATGCTTAAAAGAGTATCCATCATCCTGATCATCTTCATCTTCTGCTGGTTGTATATCGATTCGCCGTTCTTGTTGACTTTTGCCGCTTGCACGTGATGGTGTCTCGTGTACGTCCGCATCGGTTTTCAACTTACTCTTTGCTGCCATATATGCCAAATATGCTGGAGAATTATGATAAGCTTTAAGTGATTTTTCGTATTCCAATTTATCAGTTTCATATTCGTCAACATATTCTTGTTTGTCTATATCTGGTAATTGTTTCCAAATTGTGCCAATTTTCTTGCTCAATTCCCAAAGTTTTAATTCTGGATGCTGTGCTTTTATGTTATCCCACACACGTCTCGAATACCGCATATAAGGTAACGCAGGCTTTTCAGGTGCTTTTGGCGGTTTCGGAGCGCGAGATTCGGATTGACTCTTCGAACTTGACGACTTACCCACTTTTTGTGGTGTGAACGCAGGATTACCATAGTTACTATGAGTAAAAATTGGTGTAGTATCTTTGTTGCGTTCAGATGCACTCGCGCCTGAAGAACGAGACCGACTGGAACCGCCTGAACCAGTAGTTGCAACTGGTGTGCTGGGTCCAACATTTGCCGCAATTTGTTTATAATTACTTGGAAGCGACATATTTTACAACTTTTGTTTTCCGTACAACCAAATTAGCGTCTCAGAAAAATTTTCTTTCTCCTGTCAAAATGGCTTCCAATCTATTACAATCAAATGACAACCGGCTTGAAATAGCTGCAAGAAATGACATTTATCAACCGCAACTAAGTTCACTAAGAAAGTTGGAAAGTATGTCTGTGCGTTTGTTAAAACAGTTTGGTAAAATAAGTCGAAATATTCGGCCTGCATTTAAAGAGCATTGCACGCGAATAATTACAATTAGTAACAGCGCGAATTATGTTCATAACACCACATTATTTTTAAGTAGCAATAGGCTACTGTCAACAACAAATATTAATTTAAACGATGCGCCAACTATTGATCATGTAACTTACGAAAAAGTTTGCAGTGAAACTTTGAATGAACTCTGCGATTATTTCGAAGAGCTTACGGAAAATGCTACAAATATCAGTGGCTCTGATGTATCATATGGCGTAAGAAATTTGAAAATGTTTTTATATTTAAATAATTATCAATTCTTTAAAGGATGGTGTTCTAACTGTTAGACTTGGAAACGATTTTGGGACATATGTAATTAACAGGCAAACGCCAAACAAACAAATATGGCTCAGTTCACCAACAAGCGGCCCAAAACGATATGACTTTGTGGAAACTCAGTCAGGCAATAGTGGAAAGTGGATTTATAAGCACACTGGAGAATCTATGCACGACCTTCTCCAACAAGAAATACAGAATATTTTTAAAGATCAAAAAATTAATTTTCTTGCGCTACGTTATAGCAATTAAATAAAAGCAGTACAAAAGTATTGAAAATTGTTTTAACTTGTATTTTATAATTTTTTTAATAATGCACGCTGTAAACTAACCATATCTTCAAGGGTTTTTAAATGCTGTCGCGCTAAATTTAAACTTTCTTGATGCCTACTCTCTTGATGTTCGTTGAACTCTGTTATTGTCATATCTTTTATTAAATGGGATTCAGACTGCAATGAAAACTCTGTGGATGGCAATTCGTATGGTAGTGTAACTTCATCTGTTAAAATATTGTGTTCAGATTTAACAATTTTAGGCCGTTTTGCGGATGGTGAATCGGTGTCATCCTCAACCAATTCAAATTCTTGTGCATCATCAATAACTTCAATTTTAGTTTCAGTTATTACATGCGGTTCAATTTCGTTGGTATCACTTTTCTTTGAACTTTGTAAATACAAATTATCGAACTCTTCAAATTGTAACGGCTCCTTAGTCGTCAACTTTGTGTTGGAATTAGACTTTCTTCTTATTTCTATGATTTTTCCTGCTTCTTTACATTTAATTTGCGGTTGTCGTGCAACTTTTGTTCTGGGTTCTAAATAAGCAGTAAAGTTTTTGGCCAATAGCACTTGATGTATTTCTCGCATTTGAGTAAAATACTCAAAGTTTTTGGTGTCCATTTCAGAAGAAGTTTTTATATATTCGTGCCATAAACTATAGAATTTTGTTTTTATTTCTTCATAAGTGAACTCAAAGAAACTCTCTTGCATATCTTTGACAATATCACGCCACACATTATCAAACTCATCCTGGTTGTAGCAACCCAAATTTTGTATTTTTTCCAAATACAGTGACATTAGGCACTGTATAGCATTCGGGTAGAAATTATCTATAATTTATAAAATTAATATATTATTAATATATTATCTTTCCATATAAAACACTAACCTTTCACTCTTTCCATATTATTTGTAAGCATATAACAAAGCTATGTGCTGGTTGTACTTTCCTATAAATGTTTGAAAATTTTGTTTGGAATTATTTGTGAAATTGTAATTTGCATTTATACTAAATAAATGTTTAAATTCGCGGCAATGTTTTTAATGCATTTACTTCTAGATGCAATCAAAACAAAGTATTTTTGTGATTAGAATAGAACTAGATAACACAATTTACTATGCAAAGATTCATTCAATCAACTAATGAATCCAGCGAATCGAGTAAACACTACTTACACTCTCAACCTAATTTGCTTGTTCAATTAGCGTTGCAAATAAAAATTGAATTATTTAAAAACCACATATGTTATTATAATCTTATTTTTAACAAAGTGCTAGAAATTCTAATCAGTTAAGCATTAATACAATTAAATTTTTTTATAATAGACTATTCACACACCAGAAGTAATTTTTATTTTATATTAAAGTAGTTGTGAGTTTATTTTTTTAAATATTTTTAATATGTAAAAAGAGGCTAATGTGAAGAGAAAATAAAAGCATCTATAAGCTTCTATAGTCTTTATTTTTGTTTTTATTATTATACAGTAGTTTATATAAAAGTCGTCGACGTTGCGAAGTTTGTTTGACTTCTATCACAGAGAGAACTATTATTACAACTTCGCAGGGCAGATTTTTATAATAACAAAAATTAATCTAATAATCATTTATTTTCTATTCATGTCAGTCTTTTTTCACCAATTAAAAAAAATTTATTTTGATTATTTTTTTGCTAGTTTTATTCGTTCACTTTATTACAAAAACAAGTCGAAATTGCAATTCGATGTCATATAAAACTCCAACTTTTAGAATTTAATTTAATTATGGGCTACACAAAATCAAATTGAAATTAAATTCATAGGCCGTGTGCGAGTAAATTGATGGTAAATTGAGGGAAATAGTAAATTATATCGGTATGGCAGCGAATGTTGGTATTTACCTGAATTTCGAGTAGGGTAAATTAGATAAAAATTAGGTGAATTAGGTGTTACCATTGTAAAAATTTTATAAGATGTTTAAATAAATAAATAAATAAATAAATTTGATAAATATTTACATAAGTGCAGTACAAAAAATCCCTAGGAAATTTCTATTTACTTTACCTCAGTTTACTTGAACTCGCTACATGTATGCACACTAAATATACAGACCAAGTGTTAGCTATACACTTTGAAACAATATGTAATTTTACTGCATACATGTCTCTAGACCGTAATTTGGTATGCATACTTAATTATACACAGTGCGATTTGGTTGCACGGCATACTTGGTTTGCATACATGTAGCAATGTCTATATTATGCTTTACTGTTTATTATATTAATATTCTCGAGTAAGATTGTTTTAAAAAGATATTTGCTCCTGTATTTGAGATTGATTGAACATTATCTATATTATTAATAATATATAATATGATTTATTTAATGAAATGTATAAATAAAAATACAAACTAAAACAGAATTTTCCAGAAAACTATTTAATAGCAATATTTGAAAAATATTTGACTTTAATAAAAAATTCATTTTTAAATCATTTCCAATTCTATGTTATAAACATATCTATAAATTGTTTCGCCTACAACAAATCATATTAATAATTTAATAAACACTTAACATAATGAAATATGGTTGTTTAGAAATATATTGATTATTTTTAATAGTAGTTTTATTAGTACAGCAATTATAAAATGATTCGTTTTTAACTGATTTTGGATCACTTTAAAATCATTTTAAACTATTATTTTGTTTTTGTTGCAGTTTTTCGGTATGGTTTTTAGTTAGAACTATTTTAGTACGAACATGATGAGACTAATCTTCATAAGAATTCTTTCAAACATCTTCTTTGAATCAATTATAAACAAACTTCTTTGAATCAATTATGAGCTAAAATTAAACATATTAACGATTTATATATATGTGACAATTTTACTTATAAATCTTGCTTTTTTTATGATTTATTTATAATAAAGATATGTAAATAAACTATGAATATATAACCGGGTAAGCAAATAGTTTAAATGGCTATTAGCTTCTATTAGTTATATTAATAAATTTAGTAATACCTGACGATTAATAAAAAAAATATTCATATTATGTCTTAAAATACGTTTTTTACTACAGATTCTACTTTGCACCGAATATTGAAAATCTGCTTCAGATTGGTTAATTTCATTAAAGTACTTAATATTTAAATAGTAATTTCTATAATCAATCTTAAAAATATTTCCCAATTTTATTAAAATTAACCATCACTGATATTTATTTTAAAAAAATATTACTTTTTCGTTATCTCAACTTTATCTTTTGCCTAAAATTTATCTTACGCATAGTTGCATTTGAAATTTCCCTTAATTTCAGCCTTCGTTTCAACGAAATTAAGTCCATTTTCCCTAATTTCGTTCTAACCTCAAAACTGAATTTTGTATGGAAAAAACAAATTAATTTCGCTGATATGGAGATGAAATTAAGGACGTGTGCGAGTTAGGCTAAGTTGCATTCTAAATTAGGGAAATTCTAAGTTATGCCGACATTATAGTGATGATCCCAAAAAACTTCCCATTTGGTTTAGCATCAACTTAACCTAACTCGCACACGTCCTAAGATTTTTGCGAAATTAAGGTAATATGTACGTTTTTCAAATATCATATACAATCATATACAATAAACACAAACGTAGCAGTTTTTATACAGAATAAGACGATTTCAACCAAATAATGTAAATGTATATATTAATATAGCATATATAAAAATTATTTAACCTATTAATTAATACGCATTTTTTTATAATATATGTACATATGGAATTGGAATAACAATTTTTATATTATATATTAAATAACATATATATATTTTTAAAAGAATTTTGTTAACAGAACACATAGTTTTCTATTGAAACAGTGAAATATATACGAATTATGTTAATTATCTGTATTCCTTCCAAGTCACAAATATTCGAGTGTCTTATCTGCGTAATCATTTGGTTTTTTCCTTTTTTTGCATTTTCTTGTTTAACATTAATTCTCACGTACACATACCCAAGCGGGCAAAGTATTAAACAGAATTCTGTTTACGCAAAAATGTATGAATTTGCTTTCCAGTTGTGTTCGTTTATATACATGTGTATATATGTATATGTGAAACGAATTTAAAAAATGGGTGCAAAAGCAATTTCAAAAATGAAATTACAACAAAAAATTCATTTCAAAACAGGTAAAACAACGATCTATCAACCGTAGAAGTTAGTAACAATGAAAATGTTGGCATATACATATGAAAAAGAATTTGTAGGTTAAAGCGAAATACAAAAAAGAAAAAATTTCATATATTATTTAAGCAAATAATCGATAAATAAAAAAAATTGTATAAATTATAAATTTGTGGAATAAAAATATATTAAAAATAAAATTTTTTTTAAATATAACTTTAGACATGAAAAACCTGCAATACATGTATGTATTTCCCATGATTATCTGACATCAAAAAGAAGATATACCCCAATAATGTGATGATACATTCACTGCAATCACAATAACAAAATACTCGTATAATGTACTATCATGCTTATAGGGGTTATTGTTTTCTAATTCTCCCTTGCTTCACATATTCGTACGTTTTCGCTTCATTTAGTTTGCATTGTTGTTTGTTCTTCATATTACTTCAGGTTAAAGCAGTATAGCGCAGCAGTAAAAGCAAAAAGTAAAATACTTTTAACAAAAAGTGGTAGAAACAAGTCAAAGTAAAAACGCAATATTTAGGTCGGCAATGTTGGTGTTATTGTGCGCTACACACAATGCCTGCTGAACATTGTTAACAATATTCTGTATTAATATATCATGGTATCGCATAATATTGTGAGCCTTATGAATATACTATGTAAGATAATATACATTTACAATAATTCTATTTTATTTTAACGAAATAGTTAACAAGTGTAATTTAGTATATATATATTTATATTGATATTGCAATTAAATTTAAGTTTAATAATAATATATCTTGATATACGTGCAATTTCTTTTAGTTTAGTACATACATCTACATCTAATTTTGCAATAAGCAGTATTAAATGTTTCAATATGCAATTAAATTTATTTCTCTTCATAATTAGATTATATAATTATTTCAGATATTTAAAGTGTTGCTTTTTTATATAAAAGATATCTAATAATTAATTAGAAATAATATTCTTCATCATATACTCAAATATCGATTATATGAATAATTCACTTATGAAGTGCCTAGCGTAGAGTTCTTAAAACCATTCCGTGCAAATGGCATATAGCAACCCTGAAATGTCGGCATATAAAAAGAAACAACAGCGGCGGCAAACGTATGGTGTGAAAAAGGAAAATGTAAACGAAGAGTAAAATTTGGAACGAGTCGTTTTTTGTTCGTTACTGCTCTGTAGTTGAACGAATTTTATATTTTAAAAGAAAATTTTTGAATTTTGAAATAAATTTTTTACAAGCATAAAAAGTGCTGTGTATAATCTTAATAACTTGTAAGTGAATATAATTATTAAATCTTATAACTCTATATATAAAATAATTAAGAATGTGTTATGTATATTAATTTTACTTGTTTGCTACAGAATATATTGAGGACGGAGAGAGGAGAAACTTAACAGTGCAAAACGCAGCATTTAAAATTTTTAAAAGTGAATTATTATTTAAATTAAAAATAGTTTAAATAAAAATTGAATTAATAAGGATATATACGATACGAATATATATATCCTTTCATAAAAAAAAATACATTTTAATTACCACCACCACTAATACAATTACAAACATCGTCACCGCAGCTGCAGCGGCCATCGCTTATCATCATTGTTGGCATCACCACTTTTGCTGACACATCTGTCACTGCTGCCACAGCTGTCAAAATGACAACTGGCAAGGATATCGCATCGTTTTTCGAAAATGGCACAACTGAACAATTTGAATATTGTTTTAAACTATATCCGCAGGTGCTAAAATTAAAAGCTGAAAAACGAAATAAAAAGCCACAAGAACTCATTCGCTTAGATGAATGGTATCAAAATGAACTGCCAAAACTTATTAAAGCACGAGGGAAAGACGCACATATGGTTTATGATGAGCTAGTGCAAACCATGAAATGGAAACAGTCAAGAGGAAAGTTTTATCCACAACTTTCTTATCTAGTAAAGGTAAATACGCCACGTGCAGTCATGCAAGAAACTAAAAAAGCTTTTCGTAAATTACCAAATTTGGAGCAAGCTATTACGGCATTATCAAACTTAAAAGGAGTAGGTACAACAATGGCATCAGCATTACTTGCGGCAGCTTCTCCAGATTCAGCACCTTTTATGGCAGATGAGTGTCTGATGGCTATACCTGAAATCGAGGGCATTGATTATACAACTAAGGAGTACCTCAATTTTGTTCAACATATACAAGCAACAGTCGCACGTTTAAATACAGAGGCTGGTAGCGATACTGTATGGTCACCACACCGTGTAGAATTGGCCTTATGGTCACACTATGTGGCCAATGACTTAAGTCCAGAATTATTAGAAGAAATGCCGGGTCCTGGCGCTGGTGGTGGCGCTAAGGTAAACGGTACCACTGCCAAACCGAAGTCACCAAAAGAATTAGATGGTGGCGAAGACACAAACGATGCTTATGACGAAAGTTTAGTTGCAGGTGAGTTCTATATTCAATTTAATTTTTATATAAGATAAAAATTATAAAAATAATAGATTCAAAAATGTATTTAACTTTGGTTGCCGTAGTTTTCTATACCTAAAAAAATTTATTTTATTTGTGTTATTACTCATACATAAGGCTTTTTTTTTATAACTACAATACCTAGAATTTAGCAAAAAGATATTTAATAATTGCATTGAATTTTTTATGCTTAATTATATATATTGTTAAATGCCTTCAAAATTTACTTTATTAAACTTAAAATTCAGATATAAATAGATTATTTCAATTTGATTTTTTTTTTTTTGCATAATCAATATAATGTAGTCACTAACAAAAATTAAAATTTGAAGAATGTTTCTATATAAATTAAAAATTATAAAAAGTTAATTTCTTGTCTACAAAGTCTAAAATTAAAATCTCGTAATCCAGGCTCCCATGCTCTTAAGAAGAAATATTACATTTATTTGTGTAGTAGCTTGAATTGTTGTAACACAGCTGTAACACGCATTATCTAGAAACTTCACAATCAAGTTTGTAAAAGTTCGAAATATTTTACGCTTAACTTATCACGTATAAACACAAATTTTTCGAATTTTTCGAAAACTTACTCGAAAATTGGAAATAGAAATGGTGATTGTTACTTTAAGGCAAGATCGTTGTTAAACTTACCAACCTAATATAGGTTGGGTACAAAGTACATAAAATTTTGAAATATATAAATCTCAATTTAAATTGTTAGTATAATTAGTGGTGGTATTGTAATTGTAATTCTCATTTAATTTAAATTATTAATGCATAAGTTTGAGTATCGGTCACTTGACGTCTACCTTGGATAGATTTTGGAACAAAATGAGATTGTGTGCAAATATTATGCTAAAGTTCACTTAGTACAGACTATAGTATAGGTTAAGTAATTCGAATTAATTTTGTCTTTGATTAAATCCAGAGGTTCGCAAAAATATATATAAACATTTTTTAAATTAGTGCGTTATAAAAATACAAGGCGATAAAAAATACGAACATTTATTAATTAATATAAGTTCAATAGGATTTTAAATAAAACCAACTAATTTTGTTAATGTTGATGTTTATCGTAAAGTTATTGTTACAATAACTCAATACGAGTTGTAGAAATATATTAGAGGTCAGAAATATTTCAGGAACATCTAAATTAATATTCCTAAAAATTTATAGACAATAAAATACAATTTTGCAGTATACATACACAAAATTTTGCCTCTGCTATAACAGGCAGCTGACACATTTATAAGCCGATCTTTGCTTTAATACTTGCGGCTATTGGTTTATGTACCTCTTAGCCCTTATACTATACATAATAGTGTTGTTACTTCATACACCTCTCAATAATAATCCTCTAATCTGTATTGTTTTCCATTTAACCTTTTAGTAAATAATTGTGTCAGGTTCGAAAAATTTTTGTGCACAAGTTGAAAAGGTAATGCAAAATTGTTAGAATTTGGCAAAAACTTGATCGTGTAGTTGCTGAGCAAGAAACCAGTTTATTGAGATACCGACAGATGGACGGACATTATAAACGATATAACTTGTGTTAGCCATGAGTATATATAATATAACCTATATGTATAGTCTCCGACATCTCGATTCTATTACAAGCATTTTGACAAATATATTATATTAGTTATTATTCAAATTAAAAAAATAAAAAAATTTTTAATGTTTATTTCAAAACTTAAAAATTTGATAAAATACCATACCATTTTTCATTTGTAACTACAGGACGAGGTGATATAAATAATATCGCAACTAAATCACTTATTTCTTTTATTATTTGATATCGTTTAAGTCTTTAAAATTAATAACATACTATTTTTTTCATTTATAACTACAGGACGAGGCGATATAAATAATATCGCAACTGAATCTGAAACAGATAATGAAAATACAAATCCAACTGGAACTGTATTACAAGATGGTGATTCCAATTTTGTTTCTAATGATTCCATTGATGAGAATACTACTCAAACGACAGCCACAACTTCAACTGATGATGGAACACCGTTGGCCTCAGACTCTGAAAGTAATATAGAGGCACCTTTAAAAACTAATGCTACCACAGGTGTAACAGGAGCAGCTATAGTAGCACCTCTTTTGCCAAATGCCGTAAAAAAGAATGGAAGTAAAAATTTGGCATTAGGAAATGGTAACGGAACAGGTACAGGTGACAGTTTAGATGGAGAAAACAGTAACTGTATACGATCTTCTGCTAATGAAGATGCTAGTGAAGAAGATGATGACGACGACCGCATGGTTGATGAAAGCAGCAACAGTAACAGTCTTGGACATAAATCCGTAACACCAATAATTAACCTCAACGACGGAACTACCAATACTGATAACGATTCAACTTTAAGCAGCGCAGGCATCATACAAAAACGGTCACTGCATTGCAGTAGTGACGGTATCGACGATGGTAACAGTCAACCGGAAATGAAAAAAATTCGAAGTGAATAAAAGAGAGTGCGCCGAAAAGACACTTTATACAATGGAAGTTAAATATACATTCAACTCTAATATTAAGTCAAATTTATATACACACATAACTTTGAGAGAAAAACATGAAGAAAAAATATTTAAGTTAGAAATAATCCTTCATCGAGAAAAAATTAAATCTTTTGCATTATAAAATTAAACTTTCCATTACCACACTCACAACTTAACAAGATTAAAAATTAGGTTAAAAATAAAAGCGTAGAAAAGAGAACAATACAAAATAATATTATATAAAATAGCTATAACGATAAGTATAATTATATAAAACTAATATACAATATAAAAAAATTGCTAAATATTTTTACACAGATACTAAGTAAAAAAAAAGAAATAAAAAACTGCAATTTAATCCCTCTCCAGAAAAATACTTCCACTTAACAGGAACACCAATGCGAATGCCTATGCACTTAACTAACTCGTAAACGTTCCAACAAATTTGTACTCATTCAGATCTGTTATCCGATACTCCCTGAAACAACAAGAATCATAATTTGTTCTTAGTTTTATTAACGGATTTCTTAGGTTAAGCATTTTATTATTACGTAAATTATATATATGTGTTTTTTTATTTTATTTCATGTTTCAATAATTATCTTTGTAATATTTATTTGCATTTTTATTTAAAGACAAAAAGAAAAAACTCGAAAAGCAATCACGCAAAATTTTAAGTTCATACTTAATGAAATTTTTTTTTTAACATAAAAAATGGTTACAAAAAAGTTATATAAAATATATTAATCACAAGACGCGAAATTATGAAATTAAGTATAACAAGTTATTATTTTTAAAGAGTAATTTAATGTATACTACTTTATAATTATAACGATGATACCATTACATAAAATTTTACTACAAAAAAAAAAAAAATAAAATAAAAAAAAAAGCCGGAAAAATTATATTGTTTAAATAATTAAGAAATTAGTGTGTTTAGGATATATAAGGGAGAATAAAATTTTCTTAAACACAAAAAGAAGTATTGTATAAATAATATTTTAATTATACAATATTTATAAATTATTATTTAATAATAATAAATAATGCTGTTTTCATTATTATTAAATAATAATAATATTTATTAGTCATTATTATTAAATAAGAAATAATAAATATTGTATAATTAAAATGTTATTTATTATTTAATTAATTGTTGTTACGACCAATTTACAAAAAGTATGTATTTATTATTATTTAATAACAGTAAATAATGTTTTTTGATTACTACCAGGTTTGGGTCGTTTATTTAACACATTAAATTATGAAAAATGTTTTTTTTAACAAAAAATTAGACTTATTAATTTATGTTAAATATTTTAATTATATATAAATTTTTATAAAAAATTACAATGAAGATAGTCTTCACATAGATCGAAATATCTGTAATAAAAATAATTTTTAATAAAAATTTAAAATATATATAAAATATTGAACACAAATTAGTAAGTGTAATTTTTTGTTTAAAAAAATATTTTTATAACTTTATATGTTAAATAAACGACCAAAGTCCGGTAACAATCAAAAAACTTTTTATAAATTGTTCGTAATAACAATTAAGTAATCATTATTTAATAATAATGAATGATAAACATTATTATTATTTAATAATAATGAATAATAAATATTATTATTATTTAATAATAACGAATAATATATATTATTATTTAATAATAATGAATAATAAATATTATTATAATATTAATAAATATTGTTTGCACAATATAATGCTTAAAATATATTCAAAGTAAACAAATTAGAAATAATAACACATACATATAGTATTTATACACACTTTTCGTTAAACGTAACAGATGTATTGATTATTCAACAACTATAATAACAAAATTAAAATGCATTTCTTGTTAGATTAGCATCTTTCAAAAAAAGAGCTTATAGCAATGACGGATGATTTTACATGAGGGATGCCAAATGCTATGCACAACCTAAATTAAAAGATCTGGAGGTATTACTCATTGTATGCATTATGCAGTTAAATACAAGTTAAAGACTGGCATTAAATATTCTTGTCAAAATAATGTTATGTGCAGATTCCCGACCGTTCACGATTTTTTATATTATTCGGGTGAATCTTATAACACGGAATCTCTAGAACACAGGAATATCAACATATTATAGTTGTTAAATCGCTCTGAAAATTTCTACCGTGTCGGGGTTAAAGTATAGCTAAAACCTTAATATAAACTTTTCAATTTCGGTACTCTATAACGGAACTCTATGTACACGATGTCATCAATCTGTTCAACTATTTACCTGCTCAAAACTCTATGCATTGTCACTTCAAGAAGTGAAAGTTTCAGTATGTGGTACAATTAAGAAAACCATTGTTTGTTATTCTTGTATTATATTTTTCCGGGTCTACTCTTATCTTTAATTTCTATATCATCTTAACTCATTTCAATTTTTGTTATATTCTTCGCTTGATGTAGTTACCAACTATTTTTTGTAAGTATGGTCTGACTAAAAACAATCGTTTAAATTTATTAAATACTTATGCATATAATCATGAGTTTTTATTACATTTAAAAACAAATTTTAAGTTTAATTTTAAGAAACTATCAGTTCCAATTTTTGCATTTTGACCTAAAAACATCAAGACATCTTATAGATATTAAGGAAAATGATGACCGAAATACAAAAGAGGAGTAAAGCAACTCAACAAACAATATCAAACATTACTGCGTGATTCCGATAACTCTGGTACACCAATTTGACAAAAGAGTCGAGTATTGAATTGCTCCTTTCTACTCCAGATCATGCATTTTACGAGTAATTAAATGGAAACGTAAATTATCGGCATAGGTGCTACCTTCATCTTTTGTTCTTTCCATAATATACATTCAAATTACAAATTATAAGGAATAATAGAATGAATCATACAAAATCATATAAAATAAAATGAATCATTAACAGAATCTATTAGATAGATTTAGGTATGACCTTTAACTCTATCACCTAACAGCTATCTAACATTTTTTGAAATCAATCGACTTGATTGTGTTCGAGCATTTTCTCTTTGGGTGTAGAAAAAAGTAACACGGGTCCATGTTAGGTGAGTACATTATTGCATTAATCACATCACGATAACTTTATTTCTATATGTACATATATATACATATTTTGTACGTAAGTTTTAGAATATATAAATTTGTGTATGTTCTACTTTCAGTTATTTCTTTTCTAATTTTCAGGAAAATTTCTTTTATATAAAAAAAATATTTGTATCTCAAAGCCGGTATCTCAGCTGAATTGAATATTATAAATTTTAGAAATTGAGTATCCTGAATGTAAATCTCTGCTAAATGAACTTATATACAAAGTTGACATAAGGCCTAGGTTACGATAGGTTGGAGTACACCAAAGACCATTTGAGTATACATAATGAGCTTTTGTAATAACACGGAGACAAAACCTGGGGATGTGATAATTTCAAATAATCTTCTAAACAATATTAATAATTTTCTATTATTTACAATATTTGAAATATAATTGAGGTATAAATATATAATTTATTAATTTTTTTAAATAAAAAAATACTACTTATAATTGTTTAATATAAAGCAGTAACGGGTTTAGTACTTGAACCTTTTCAGATCATGCTACGGTGCATAGAAATATGATATAAATGTATAGTTTATATAAATACATATGTATGTGTATATATATACAGTTTTAAAAATGTACGATAATAAAACGATAAAATTTACAAAAGCATTATTTACAATTTAACTTTTTTCAAATTATACCAAAGTATTACAAAAAATTATATTAAATTAAGGTTAAGGTACTCTGACTTTGAGTTTCAAATTTGGCAGGACACGAGATCAATTTCTGGTACTTGCAGTCTCAAAAAATTATTTACGAATAATTAAATACAAGAATTATTTCCTAGACCACTTATGATGGATATTTGGCAATACTAGAAACAGCTGTATGGTCAGTCAAAAATTCAATTAATTAAAATAATATAAAAATGAATTTTTGTTGTTGTAGTTCACTACTTTAAAAAAAAAAAAACCTCATTAGATTAAATTTTGATTTTTAATGAATTAATGTTAAAGCTATATATATGTACCTAAATCCCATATGGAATAACACGTACAGCGACTCCAACCTAACCTCACCTATATATAGGTCTTATAACTACTTCTGAAATAAGTAATAAATTGTTTGGTTAGAAAAAAAATATTCAACGTAATTTTTAGTTGTATTTAATAATAAATTTTGTATTTAAAAAAATTTTATTCAAAACTTTTGTTATATATATTTATATTAAATTATATAAATATTAACATATATTTGTTATATATTCGTCATATATTTATTATATAGTATTATCAATTTTATTTTATATATCAATACTTTATATTAATTTAAAAATTGTTTATATTATGTGAATACTTTAAATACTAATTAAATTTCTTATATCAAATATAAACAAATTATTAAAATTATGTGAAAAAGATATATGATTGGATTATGATTAGAAAAATTACAGTTTTCGTTTATTTTTAAAAATTTTGAATAAGAACAGACATTAGCTTTTGGCTACCCAGCGCTACGTGGCGCACCAATAAAGTTTAAATGCATTTAATTGCATGACACAATTTTATATAAAATATATTTAAAACTTATTCAATTGAAAAAATATATATATATTTAAGTATATAATGTTATTGTATTTTTAAAAAATATATTAATAACAAATTAAAATTTAACAAATCATACAAATCGCACAAAAATGCTTATTACACAACACAAACATATTACACAAAATGATTTTGGCGTTTACAAATGATACTAGTTTTGTGTATTTGCACCTCACACTCATACAAAAAGAACTACGGTTTAGTGAATAATGGGGTGTTCGATGTGCTGGTGTCTTGATAGGTAAAGTGTAATATTTACGTGAGTTAAATCAGCAAATAAGCATTAGAAAATATTATATATTATCAATGACAAAAAAAAAGTGCTTTTAAATAATGCAAATGCATAAGTTAAAAGATTTAATATTTAAATTCAATAAATCAAGTATTGTGCTTGATGAGTTGTGTTGTCTGCTGTCGTAGCGTAAAAATTGTTTATGTAAAAAACAGGGTGCATGGTACATCCTCAAGTCATACTTTTCACTTTTGTACCAAATGTGCGATTTAAATTAATTTTAAAACTTAATATGCATTTATAAGTGTTTATAATAATATAGAAAAGTATACGTGTATTAAAAATTAGTAAATTTAGTGTTTAATAACTATGTTTGCTTTATGCGGGCTGCCACCCTGTGTGCCCCACATATGTGTTCTCATACAATGGTCCTAATTTTCTCAAGTGGAGTAAAAAAATAATGGTATATTTGTTTTTTTTTTTTTGTGCTGTTTGAATACGAAACTTAATTGCGTACCGTTTAATCTTCATTTTAAAAGTAAGATTAAAAAAAATTTGTTCATTTCTGTTTTACAAATTATATATAAAAATAAAAATAATTTAAACTGTTGGATTAAAAAGTTTCTCTTACCTTGCGATTGTACAATCGAGAGAGACGAAATGAGCAACCGTAAA